TCCTCGTAATATAGTAAATACGTAGATATATAATTTGTGGCATAAAAAGTGAAAAGTATGTGCCAAAAGTACTTCGAAATCGAGAAGGCCCTTTTTGGCGGTTGGGTCAAAAATATGTTATTTTCCAATTTTTATTTATTTTTAGTGTAAAATGTAACTAAAAATAGTTTTATAACATATTTTAAATAACTTAACGTTGTATTTATTTCAAATTTACACAAAAATATATTTGAAATATTGTTCGAAATGTCATACAGATAAATATTTTTTTTTCATATATTTTGGTATGAGTAACCAATAGAAACACATAAAGCATAAAAATATACATATTTCAAAACATTTTCATATAAATTTCTCCAAAAACAAAAGTGTAGAATTCAATAATAATAATAATAATAATAGCCATTTTATTCCCAATTTCTCATACAACAGTCGATATTAGTTAAAACCAATTGTTATGAGTCATGCAATTTTTTTTAATTAGAAGACATGATAATGCCGGTGTCAATTTTAAATAAAAAAAGTTTAAAGTAAATTTACAAAATTAATTTTTTGATTATTTATAAATAATGTTAAGGTAAATAATCAATTTATATTTATATTTTCAAGTAATTGTCAACTTATTATGATTTTTGTCACAAAATATATAGTTAAAATAATAAAATTGAAATTAGTAATAATCTGCTGAATTTGGCTATACACATAAAATAGAGTCATAATTTATTATACTAATTTTAATTAATTATGGGATATCCATTTCCGGGTGAAGGCCTCCTCCATCCTTTTCCATGAAGTTCTGTCTGCCGCTAGCCTCGTCCACGTTGCTCCTGCCACCTCTACAATGTCATCGCACCAGCGTGCCCGCGGTCGGCCGCGCGAGCGCGTCGCATCACGCGGGTGCCAATGTAGCACCCGTTCAGTCCATCTTCCATCACTGACTCGTGCCACGTGTCCTGCCCATCTCCACTTCAGTTGACACGCTAATTTGGCTGCGTCTATGATATTTGTTTTTTTTTTCGTATATCACTGTTTCTATGTCGATGTCTTAGTTTAACGTTTAGCATGCTGCGTTCCGTTGCTCGTTGGAAAACTTGTAGCTTAGATATTATTTTCCTTGTGAGAGCCCAGTTTTGACATCCATATAATAAAGTGGGGAGTACAGTAGTATCCAACGCTTTCTTTTTTAATTTAATTGGTATTTTTGCCTTGAAAATATGTTTTAGTGACCAATATTTGCTCCATGCTAATTTAATTCTTCTATTAACTTCCGTCATTGTTAAGTTGTGAAATGAAATATTTTGCCCAAGATAAATATATTCATTAACATATCTAATTTGTTGGTTTTGAACGTGTACAGGCATTTTTGTGCTATTTGTCAATATACAAGTTTTATCTGGATTCATTTGTAGGCCACATTTTCTGCTTTCTATGTCTAAAGACTGAACCATATATATAAGGTCTTCGTGATTTTCGCTTAATATGATAATGTCGTCTGCAAAACGTAGATGACTCAAAATTTCTCCGTTAATATTAATGCCTCGTTTGCCCCAGTCAAGTTTTGAGAAAATGTACTCTAATAAACAAGTAAATAGATTAGGTGAGATTGGGTCCCCCTGTCTCACCCCTCTCTCGATTTTAAATGGCTGTCCTGGTCTCTCCATTCTTATTGTTGCTGTAGTTTTACTATAAATTTCTTTCAGTATTCTTATATATTGGTTATGTATTCCATGAGATTTCAACGCCAACCAAAGTGAGTCATGGTAAATAGAGTCGAAAGCTTTTGAATAATCAATAAATGCGATGTAAAGAGTTTTGTTATATTCTTTATATCTTTCCATTATCTGAGTCAAAACTAAGATGTGATCCATTGTAGAGAACTTGGGACGAAAACCAGCTTGTTCTCTCGGTTGCATGTAGTCTAATTTGGGTTTGATTCTATTAAGTAATATACTTGTGAAAACTTTATAAATTGTATTCAATAGGGATATAGGTCTATAGTTGTTGATATTTAGTCGATCACCCTTCTTGTACAATAATATGATAGTAGAGTTTGCCCAATCTTCTGGTATTTTATTTTGTTGAAAATATTTGTTAATATCGGTATGACGGGTTCTTTTATCGCTTTCAAAACATCATTTGAAATACTATCTTCTCCTGAACTTTTTGCACTTTTAATTTTTTTTATGGCATGACTTATCTCGCACGGTAGTAGTGGCGGAATACGGTCGTCTATATCCACAATACAACTATTATTTATTAATTCATCCTTTATGTTATTTTCCACGTTATTACTTTTGTATAAGTTTTTGTAAAAATCGGTAGCTATTTTTAAAAGGTGTTCTCTATTTGCAGTTTTTTTGTTATCATTTGCTTTTAGTGAGGAAATCCACTCTTTGGATAGAGTGAGTCGTTTCTGTGCATTTTTTGTAGAGCCTTTATGTAATAACTCTTCTTCTAATATTTTTAAGTGGTATTCTAATTTCTTTTATTAATCATTCTTTTTATTTTGAGGTAGAGTTTTAACAGTATATTTTTTTCTTCTGTAGTCTTTTTTTCTTTACTTTTAAGTTTCGTTCTTTCTTTAATAAGTTCTTTTATTTCTGGACAAAGTTGGAATTTTTCTTTACGTATTTTTTTGGCAACTTTTTTATACATTCTTCTATTATATTAGTCAGGTTTCTGTAGTTTTCTTGCAAGTTTTCTTTCTCTTTATTATTAGCTAATAACTCTGTAAACATCCCTTTGAGGAATTCATTTTCACTTGGTGTTAACTGTCTTTTTGGAGCACAAAATTTTTTTCTGTTCTTTTTTTACTTTAGTTTTAATGTTGACGCATCCACGTACAAGTCTATGGTCTGATGGATAGGTTGTATTTATTATTTCTAGGTTTGTCATTTCTCTTATATCTTTTGTAAGAATGAAGTCAATTTCGTTACGCGTTTTACCATTGGGTGACACCCAAGTCCATCTATTCTTTAATTTTTTCTTGAAATATGTACTACTTATCTTAAATTGGATCTCTAAGCAAAACTGAATTAATAACTCACCCCGTAGAATTCAAATTAGTCGTAATTTTGGCACTAAAAGTTAAGTATATACTACTACTATGCTATAAAGGGTAATTTATGAATTTTATTACAATTTCTAGCAACCAAAAATAATTTTATTCGATAGTTTATACATTGAACAAGAATTCCTGTAAGTTTTACCCATAAATATTGTCTCAAAGTGAAAATATAGCAAAATTTGCAAGTTAGCAAAAAATTTGCAAACAGGTTGTTTGCTGTTCTTTCTGAGCTAGCGGGATAATGTCTATAGTATGGTAAAAATAGAAGTTTTTTATAGTTATATAGTGGAGGGTTGCTCTAAATTTCACTTACCGGTAAAAAGCTGCTACTCTGTTATTGGTTTGTCGAGCTATATGATTTATTGTCACTTCGGCTTACTGATCCGAAGGGCTGTATCTTTTACTCGGCAAGGGATAAAGTTGTTTTATCTAACTTTATATACGCCTTGATTTTTTAAACGCTTACAAAGCTTTAACTGTACTTATTTAAATTAATAAAACATAGCATATGCTCTCACATCTGTCACCCAGGGGTATAAGCAGAGACCATGGACTCCCATTTGATAGGGGCCTGGCATACCTCTCTTTTATTTTAAGTACACGTTCGTCGATTAAGGGTATTGTTAACTTGATACTGTTGACTTCCATGTTGGTCTAATGGACGTAAACGCGATTGCTGATTTAGATTCCAATCACACATCAGGCCATATCACTCTTTGGGATTTTCTGTCAACAAATTGTAAGTAACCGTATGAAGTCAGGAAGTTGGCGGTGTTTAACCTTCGTGCCTCGTAAAGCTAAGCCGGTGGTCCTGCACCTGATCTCTCTCATCAAAGTTATGAGCAATATATATACAGGTCACTTTCATAGTCAATTGGGACGATAGTTCGATACGACCGGAGAGAGATCAGGCGCTTGACCACCGGCTAAACACCGGCTTACCACCGGCTTTTGTTAAAGGAAGTGATTATAATAATTATAATGTTTATGGTTTTAATTTCTATGGTCGTAAAAAAGTAGAGGTGGTGTATGTATGTATGTGTATGTATAAAGGAAGTTAGAGAGTGAAATAAATTAAAATTTATTTCAGATTTAACAGAATCCGAGCATTTTGAATGTTGTGGTATATAAATTCCTTTACATAATATTTACGTAATATGCATCTATGGACACCTGGTTCGAATTTGAATATATTCATTTTTAAACTAGAAAAATATTTTAAAAATTAATAAATAATCACAATTAAAGATTTATTATTGCTGGAGACATTTACATTATTTTCCTATAAAATAATAAAAATACAATTGAATTAAATGACAACATTTCGAATTATAATTTATATAGACATATTAATGAACCAACGCGTGGAAACAACTGTATAGATCATGTATTTAGTAATATAATGTATGCAACAATATGTGTTAAAAGTTATATTATCTATTGATGTACATATACACAGAAAAAGTTAAATAATATTTGGGAGTATAAAAGGAACTTTAATTCATATTACATTAATATGTTTCGTGAATGTATAAAAAGCCTACTTTTAATGAAGTTTTTGAGGACAAGGATATCAATTGTGCATACAATAAATTTATGGAATTTTTTATCTTATTTTCTAGTCTATGCTTTTATATGATTAAGACAAAAAAAACTAGACATGATATTTAAAAATAACTGGATTATAAAAGATTTTAAACTTAGTTGTTTAATGAAAAGGAAACTCACAATTGGTTATTAAGAAAAAGACTTAAGAGAATTAACAAAAATACAAAACATACAGCAAATTACTAAAAATGTGTATTGACGTGTCTAAAAGAATTCATTATTTCAAACGAACAAACAAATTAATACCAGTAAGAATATAGGAAAATGTTTATGGAATTTGATAAAATCAGAGACAGTATTAAAATTGCAGGACCGCTATTTAAACATGATAAACAAGAATAATGAATGTCTAAGATCTTTACAGAAGATTGCTAATGGTTTTAGTGAGTGTTATGAAAGCCAGAAAAGGATAGTTAACTTAAGTCATGCTAAAGAAACACACCTGAGTAAAATTAAAAACCCGTGCAAAAGCATGTTTTTTACGTCCAATTACTCTGGGGGAGACAAAGTCATTTATAGTTAATTTAAACAATTCTATAAGTTAAGGTTATGGTGGCGTAAACACGAAAGTAATTAAATACTGCAAGGGTGAATCACAGCCTATACTATTCGATACGATCTGGCTTTTCCAGAGTTATTAAAACTATCTTTGATCAAGCCTTTATTTAAGCCAGGTGATGAGGAAGATACGAACAACTACCGTCCAATAACAATTTTGTCAGATTTTTCCAAAATCTTTGAAAAAGCTTTGCAAAGTAGGCTTAGTTATTATTTTAATGAAAACAACTTTATAAAAAAAGAACAGTATGGCTTTCAGCAAAAAAAATACCATGATGGCGTGTTTTAATCTACTCAAAAGAATCACCGATGCAATAGATGATAAGGTAAATGTAACAAGTGTATTTTTAGACATGTCAAAAACATTTGATTTTGTTTGCTATGACACCTTATTATGTAAGCTAGAAAAGTACGGAATATGAGGGCTAACATTGCAGTGGATAAAATCGTATTTATCATCCATAAAACAGTGTGTGGAAGTTATAAGCCATAATAAAAATAATATTTTGACAAAATTCAGATCGCGACTAGTTCTTAAGTACGCTGCAGTTTCTCAGAGAAGCGTTCTTGGGCCTTTTTTGTTTTAATTTATGTAAATAATTTAACAGATACAACTCCATTTCCATGCAATTTGTTTGCAGATGACATATCTTTAATCATAAAAAATAATCATGGAAATAAACATTATTACAAAAAGACATAAAATGTGCAGTAAATGATATCGTTTCAAGGTTACATAATAATACTTAAAATAATATCTCTAAAACCTGTCAATTACAATTTCGTAGTAATAGTAGAAAGAGACTAGATCTTGACATAAAATATAATAACGACAAAGAACAAGAAAACGTACAGAAAAAAAAATCTGGAAGTAAAACTAGATAGTAATTGTAATTGGGTGGCTCATATTGGTGAAATTTGTAATAAAGGTCTATTACGTACGTTACGTTACGTTAAGAAGAACATCATCAGATCAAACCGCACTCATTGCATATCATGGATTTGTCGAAACAATATTAAGATACGGGTTGTTAATTTGGGGTAATAGCCCTTATTCAAAAAGAGTTTTAATAGCTCTAAGAAAGTGTGCGAGAGCCTTAACTGTTGACAAATGGTATGATTTTTGTAAGCTCTTATTTAAGGATCTTTACATACTAACTTTACCAGGCATATACATATTTGAAACAAGTGCTCATGTAAAAAAAATTTACATGTGTACAAAAAAGCATCTGAGGTATATTTGCGTAACAATCTAAATTCTAATATAGTTTTAGAACATATACCTAAAACTGCATTTTATCATAATGGCTGTTATGCGATGATTGTAAAAAATTATAATAAATTTCCGGTGAGTATTAAAAAAGAGACACAAACTAAGCAAACTAAAAAGCTGGCTACTATTAAAATGTGTTTATGCCGTAAAACAATTTTTAAATGAATAGAATCTTGTTGCTTAAATTTGACATTATTGTATTCTTTCAGACTATTATTTTTGTAATGCTCTGTAGATTTTATAAATGTACTCTTTTGTCATTCTAATTTTTACTATATTAAATAATGATTGACAAGACGCTTGTAATTTTAATTTTATTTGATTTAATTGAATAATGCATATTTAAATTCTTGCATGAAATGATGATTGTAATTTTAACATTTTTAATTTATATTTATTTGTTTTATATGATGCACATGACTATATCTTCATTTAATAAATAATTTTCGCATGCCAGATATGGTAAACATTTGGACTATGTACAATATGCAATATTTGTCATCTCTGATGTACCATTATAACCCATTCCTCCCCACTGTCATATTTTTAGCACACTATTAACAAAATTTCTTTTTACGTATTAGGACTTTTATTTTTATTATTTCTGATGAAATTCATATTTTTACACTATTTTTCTAATAAAATAAATTTTTTCGCAGTAAAAATTTTTAAGTAATTTTAATATAATTTTTTAAAATTGATCATTTTAGTTGACTGAAGGAGAGCATTGAGTTCCGATTGTATATACGGTAAAAGAAAAATGTTACCTACTTCAAAGTACAGACTTATTCTTAGATCTCTGCCAAATATAAAACAAATAGAAACAAAAACAATTTGTGAACTTGTGATATACATTCAAAACAAGCCGTCCTATAAATATGACACTGGGAACGTGTCTGTACAATTTGCCGCGAAAGCGTGTTCGATACTGTCACGCTAAGTACAGGTTCAAACTGGTCAATTGTTTGTTTTTTGCGGGTCTTGATTGTGTTTACATTAGTCGATTAGTCTACGCGGAAAACATTACATCTCCTCACACGAAACGATTGTGATTATTTATCGACCTAGAGTAAAAAAAGTGAATTGTTTACAAGGTTGAGAAATTATAGGTAAGTAAAAATATTTTATTTTTGTTCTTTATCTAATTGTAAGCAATGTACCTGTCTATATGATTATAAGTATTTGTGTGGTTATATATTTATATTTTCTATTTTTTAATATTTATAGATCATGGATCCAGTGCAAAATAGTATAAAAAATCTTTGAAGGTGTCCGAAATCGTAGACTATCTTCAAGATATTGAAGATTCTAGTGATGAAGAGCTGAATGACATTGAAGTTGCCATATTTCCGCCGGATGAGGTAGATGAAATGACTGATATAGAAGAAGGTCATAACGACGATATGGGAGTTTTGCCAGTGTCTGATGTAGCTGGTCAAGTGGAATTTTCGTGCACGATCGATAACGTCGCGGAAAATCATCCTACTCAAACCACATCCCGGACAAACAAGACAGTCACTTGGCGTAAGCGTGAACCAGTATATTCTTATATACAGCCGGAATCTAATACTGCTAAACATTGTTTGGAAAATATGATGACAGAGTTGGAAGGAAAATCAGCGGTAGAAATATTCGAAAACTTGTTATATGACGAGATTCTATAATATATTGTGCACGAAACTGTAACCTACGCCAAACATTATAAAAATGATTTGAACTTCAATCTAACTATAAATGAGTTAAAAGTCTTTATAGGAATTTTGTTTTTCTCTTCGTATCATCACTTGCCGCAAAGTAAACTTTATTGGTGTAGAGATGAGGATGTACATATTCCATTTGTTGAACAGGAAATGTCCCGTAATCGTTTTGATAAAATAAATCCAAAGCTTTCAAAATTCGCCCACTTATCGAAAAAGCTAATTAATCATTCCGAAAGTTTGGTATATTTTAATTTAATTTAGCTGATGATGAAATGATCGTATAATACTTCGGTCACCATGGAATCAAACAATTTATAAAAGGTAAACCAGTGAGGTTCGGATATAAGCTTTGAGAAATGTGTGGAGTCAGCGGATATTGTTACAACTTTTCGCTTTACACGGGCAAGGATGCTCAAACCCCTGCTAGTAGTAACGATGGCTTGGGTGCAACAGTGGTAAAGAAGTTGCTTGCAGTTTGTACAGATCCCAGAGCACATGTAGTCTATTTCGATAACTTTTTCAGCAGCATGCAAATGTTGATTGATTTGAAATCTCAAGGGTTCAGAGCTACAGGGACAGTCAGAGAAAATAGGACTAAAAATGTCCTATCATGACCAAACAGGAGATGAAAAAAGAAAGACCGAGATTTTTCCGATTATCGTTTTGATAAATATAGTGAAATTTTGTACGTGAAATGGCATGACAACAATGTTGTTTGTCTTTTGACTAATTTTGATTCTATTGAACCTTTGGTAAAAACGAATAGGTACTCAAAGAAAGAAAAGGCCAAAGTAGCCGTGAATCAGCCAATGCTTATTCATAATTATAATAAAAATATGAGAGGAGTGAATAAACATGATTGGCTGATTTCTAAATATCCAATCTGCTTTATAGGTAAAAAATTGTATTGGCCTTTAGTCATCCGTGTTTTAGACATGTCCCTTGTGAATGCATGGAATATCTACAACCAGATAAATAAAGATGAGACCATCCCTCTACTAGATTTCAGACGAAGGGGTGGTTTTGCTTGGATGAAAAAATCGAAAGGCAAGGCAAGTAAACCGACACCCGGTTCTTCAGAAATTCTTTTACAACCTGTCAGGTTTGAAAATGTTGGTCGCTATATGACAAAGAGGGACAAACAGAGGCGTTGTCAAGGACAAGGTTGTAAGAAAAAACCTCTAACCTTTTGTGCTAAATGTGAAAAAACACTTTGTAGTGATTGTTTCATACCTTATCATACAAAATAAGCTCACAATATTTTATTTTTGAGACTGTTTATGGACATAATTTTCAATTAAAGCAGATTTTCTTATAATAATTAACTTGTATTATTTCTGATCACATGTCCCCATTGTCATATTTATAGGACAGGCTAAAACAGGGATGAAGGTATATTTTTATTATTTTTGTCATATTCTTTTTTCTTAATGTATTATAAACTTAATTTAAAGAATTGATCCAAAAATTCCAATGTTTTCGAAGCTTGGGAAGTAATGGGTTAAGCGAATATATGATATTGTTATTATTAAAAATTTGTTACATTCTTCCTAAATACGAATTCTCTACACGAAGGTTTTCCTAAAAGAATCTTTTAAAAAACTTAATTAATTTTAATTATAAATATTCGTTTTTATAATAACTATTTCTGTGACAGCTCTATGTTTGTGGAATATATTAAAAACTATTATGGTCCGCTTTATGCATAATTTATTTACGCGGTAGAGCCATGATGCAGATATTTAGTTGTAGCATGAATAGGAAGGCCGAACCAGGGAAGAATCACGCTCTCATAAAATACCAGATTTAAAATAAAACAGCTTAATGCTACTGTGTTTCGTTTGATGAGTGCAGGGAACCAGAGAAAAATTTTACTGGAATTGCGGCAGTTATTTTTTCTTAATCAATGACAAATTTAGATATTTATGAACCACAGTATTCACTTACAATAACGTGGACTATGTGCTCGTTTGTCAAGATTATTCTGTAAAAAAGAATTAAGTGATATCCTACCACAAAATAAAAGTTCTTTATATAAGGTATAATGGGATATCAAATCACGGAAAAAAATCGCAGAAAAAATTTCTTTGTCGACACGTTACACGTTTCATTGCCAAGAACAACATAATATGATTTTAAATTAGGATTTCTTGGCTTTCCGGTTTCCTAAACACTTGTTTCTGAAACCCTGGGCACGTACTAAATTTGTTACTTTGCATTTTTACGTTGAAACGGTATGCATCGCACCAGCTCAGCGATTTTGCCTTCTTGTATTAGATAAGTTAAAACGTTCGCAACTTACAATATGGATTTTATTCTTATCACACCTTTAGTAAGGTAGAATATAAATAAAAAATTTGTTACTTGTTCACAAAAATCGAATATTGACAAAAACATTTCTTTTGTATGATACTAATTATAATTTAACTTTAAGCGTGAAGTTAAGACGTAAAGGTGTCCTAGCTCAATTTCTTGGAACATGTTTATTGCTAGCCGACGATAAATGTAGATATGTATATTTTGACTTTAATTCTATTATCTTGTATGACTTATTTTCGATCTACATGCTAGTTTACGGTTAAAGAAGCGTGTTTGCGAGTTATAAAGAGATTATTAAATAAACACCTCTTTTAAGTATAGGTGTTCACTATTTTAGCAAGTACAAGTAACACTTCTAAACAAATCTACATCAAATAAGGCAAATTATACCGTGAATAAGGGGCGCATGAATAATAATGTACATTTATTGTACTTAATGTATTGCCCGATAGCGTGCTAAAAGCATAACGGCATAAAACAGACATGCTCCGTTTATCTACGTTGCACGAAATTTCAAATATTAGAGAAGCTTACAAACAAGTTCTGTGTGAATGCATTACTCGCCAACTGCTGTTAACACTTAAGAACCACTTCTTTTCACACTAACTGAATACTATATTGAGTCCAAGTGAACCCAAGTTTTAATTATCATTTATTTTTATTTTTAGTTTACTTATCAACTCTGTTTTCATCTGTCTATCTTAAGTTGACTTCTGAATATGGGCTCCTTCCACTGAAGGAAGGGTTTGCATTAATCGACTAGCCTGGCAAGCGGATTGACGGTCGCATATCTAACCAGACGTTTGGACACCTACACCTTTAATGCTGCTCACTGTCGTATTTAACGTCTGGCGTAGAAAATGGTTATACGAAAGAATAAGATGACTATCGGTAGCTCGATGTTCTTTTAAGCATATAATTTAGTTGCCTAATTCGACACCCACGGGACGAAATAAGGTGACAGGATGTCTTACGCCGTTACCATTGGGCACTTAATACCTTTTTAAAAATGTACCAATTTTATTAACTCTACTAATACTCCCGAAAATGACTACAATTTAGTTTAAAGTGCTTATGCTAGAAGTGGTTCACGACATTAGTCGAAGGTAGAAGTCAAATACTTTTAGTTTCATGGTCGATAGCCTTAACGTTTCCGTACCATTTAAGCAACTTTAAACTTTATTTATTTTTACGTATACATAACATATACTGAGATATCTTAAAATATTTTACAACTATTCATGGCCTTCTATGACAATATATCTAGAGTTAAACAAAGAAAGCAGTAATGAAAGATGAATGGGAAACATATATATATATATATATATATATAGTAAACGTTTACTGTGGTAATTGTGTTATGTGCTATCACTCCCAGTAGCTAGTACTCCTACCGAAGGAATTGAGTCTTGAAGTACTGCAGGTAGGAAGTAAGGATACCACACCATTTCATTATTCAAATAACGCGATTCATTATTCAAATAATCATCATTCATGAGGCTAATTAATGATGAGAGAATGTTGGAAAATAAGATTGATCAAGGAAAATTAACGATAATGTAAAAAGTAGATGAAAATGTAGAAGAATTTATTTTTTTAAACTTTACAGTAGGTTTTCGAAGTGACCACCTCTAGCAGCATTGCATGACCTACACCTGCGTAAACAATTGCGTTTCAATCTTCTAAAAGCTCCTCTGTTATCCCTGACCACACGTTGGGCTTCGCAAAGCTTCTGCCCTAATTCTTGTTCATTGTGACATTCACGAGCGTATGCTACTTCCTTGTAGTAGCCCCAAATGAAAAAATCTATGGGATTAAGGTCCGGTGACCGTGGTGGCCACGAAATTGGACCACCGCGTCCAATCCACCTGTTGGAGTATGTTGCATTTAAGAAATTTCGTACTTGTACGGCGTAGTGACAAGAGGCGCCGTCATTTGGCCGTCATACTGCGTCTAAGTTCAAGGTTTACGTCTTTCAGCAACAATGGAAGTTCATTTTCCAAGAAGCTTTTGTAGATTGTTCCATATAGTCTGCTCGGCAACTCAAATGGATCGATTAACTCGCCATTGAGGACCCCAGACCACAAATTAACGCTAAAACGATGTTGGAACGTTGAATCTCTCGAAGAATGTGGATTTTTAATCGCCCACGTGTGGCAATTATGGATATTGAATATCCCACATCACTCAAACTTTGATTCATCCGACCATAGTACTTTACGAAAAAACCAGTATCCTCTTCATGTTTTTGTAACATGGTTTGGCAAAAATTAATGCGCAATTGATAGTCTGCAGGTAGTACACTTTGGACTCGTCAAATGTAGTACGCGTGGTATCCTTCTTCGTGAAGTATACTTTGGATAGAAGACCTTGGGATGTCCAGAGTAAGAGCCATAGCTCTCGTACTCGTTGACGGATTTCCCTCAACCTCTTCCAGGACCACTTCTCTGCGATCAGGGTCTGCTCTAAGGATTCCTTCATGATTTTCGCGTTGACCAGGAATGCGGCCTGCCATCTAGGTATTGTGAGTGTTAATAAAAATACGATGGTCGGGATAAAACGGCGGTTGCGGCCCACCACGACGTTGAAGTTGTTCGTGATACAGACGCGCTACTTCAACGCCGTTTTCTCGTGCAACTCCATAA